CTTCCGGCCTGCTTTGGGGCGGGGGTGTTTGAGAAGTTTGGGGGTTGAGGGCTCAGGGGCTGGTACCCTCGGCCCTAAACTCAAGACTCCAGGGTTTCGGGTTTAGGTTTCCCTCAACCCCAAACCCTAAGCTTAAGGTTTAGGGGAGGCCTCGCAGAAAAACGGACCCCCAGCCTCTACAACCTGCATCTCGAGGCGCAACTCCTGAGACGTCACAAGTCTTCCGGATGCGACTGCAGGGGGCGTCAGAAGCATCTAACTTGAACCCACCAATTCAGGTTTAGGGCTTAGGGCTTAGGGTTTATTGTTTAGGGTTTAGGGTTTATTGTTTAGGGCTTGGGGTTCAAGATTTGGGAGCTGCTCACCCCCCGCTGGCGGTCCCCCCGGGTCCTGGAGCACCTGCCCTTCGGGCGGCTCGCTGCTGCCGTTGGTGAACTCCATGAAGACCTGCCGGGCGTCACTTGCTGTTGGTTGGATGGGCATTGACGGAATGAGGCACCCTACACAATCCCTTAAAGGGTATATGCAGGGGGATATACAGGGTACCTCATTCCCTCGTTCCCTAGTAACCAACAGTAAGGTCAAGGGGGCTTCAAAACTGAGGGTTTAGGGGTTGGCATCTTTAGGCTCTTAGCTTCAAGCCCTGGGTTCCTGTGGCATCACTGACTTTCATCTTGTCTGCCACTGTCTACCATAGAGACCATACCGAGGTTCAGGTGGCAGCAGCAAACGCCCACATGCACAGCACGTACTGACATGGTCCCTGGCACACTCAAGATCAGACTCGCAGTGGGGCGGCCTCGACGAAGAGCTCTGTCGGAACTGGCCAGGGTGCAGCAGGCATGTGTTCAACCCTATGCCGACCTTTCACACATCAGCTCGTAAACCCAAAACCCGAAACCCTAAACCCTAAACCCTGTAAGCCAAGGGCACGGTAGCCTACAGGATCGGAATGCACGGTCGGGGGTCTGGGGGCAGCTTTACCGATTCGGCCAGCACAAACCTTGGCGGCCTGGCTGGTCCGCTGTGGAACGGGGTGTTGAGGTGGGGACTTGGGGGGCGTGGCTTGGGTACGGTTGGGGAGAGAGCGGGTGGCGTAGAGGGACTGAGGGCTTTGGGGCCATGATGAGCCCTAACCCCCAGAATCAGAAGTCAAGATGCCTGCTTTGTCTCCAGCAGGCTTACCCTTCGCCGAGTCGGTGCCTCGAAAACGATTCAGCATCGGGGGAACTTAAAAACTTGGCTGCTTGGGATGTTTTGGGAATGGATGCTAGGTACTGTAAATAGGGGGCACCAAGATCTCGGGGCTTTTTGGCTATTACAGTACAGTTGCCGGGGTCATTGAACGCATGTGTGTGTGTGTGTGTGTGTTTTGCCGCGATGGGCTTAGGGGGGTCTTTTGATTTGTTTGGGGTTTAGGGTTTAGGTTTTAGGGTTTAGGGTGGTGGTTTCAGGGGTCTGAGGGAACGCGATTTTGCACGGACTCGAGCTCTTAGGGTTATTTGCCCAGGAACACCCTGGGCACCGCCCCAAACGTCAAGTGGCCTGCTTTGTCTCCGGCAGGCTTGCCCTTCGCCGAGGAGTCGGGGCCTCGAAAACACAAAGCATCGGAGGAACTTAAATGCTTGGCTTCTTGGGATTTGAAGGGGATACTGGGAATACTGGGTCATGAGGGCTTTACGTAGTTTGGCTTACTTGGAGGCACTAAGGCTCTCGGGATCAGTAAGGGCATGTGGGCCTTGTGGGTTTAAGGTATTTATTGTATACAGCCCATGGGGGTGCTGGTCGAGTGTGAACACCCACAAAGCCAGGGCAACAGAGTATGGGCTTAGGGTTTGGGGTTTAGGATTCGGGTCTAGGGTCGAAAGTTTTCGAGGTTATTTTAGGGTCGAGCACAGAACCATCCCGCCGCCCTAAGAAGACCAGCCCGGGGGGCCTTTTTTGGGTCAGCGCTGTGGTGCATGATTGTGTCGTGTTTGGAAAGCCTTGAGGGAACGCGAACTGCAGCGTTCTACTGGTCATGAACCCTGGGCTACCCAGGGCTTGAGAGTGTTTTGGGTTGGTGTGTTTTCTTTGGGGAGGGTTTAGGGGTTTAGGCTTTCAGGTGTTTCTGGGCTTGGCGGGCTTTGGGCGTTTGGATGTGTTTAATTAGTGAGGCTGGGGGCTGAGGGTGCCGGAGGGTGCTGAGGATCCTGGGTTGTCACTGCAAGTACCCGAACTGAACGGCGTAGTGTGCACACGTTGTAGCATGCCAAAGTAGCGTATTCTCCACACTACCCTAACTGACAACCCCAGTTGTAGAGCTACCCAGAAAACCTCCAAACCCCAAGCCCTGAACCCTAAGCAGCTAGGTTACCCACCCTAAAACCTAAGCCCTAAACCCTAAACCCAGAACAACCTCCAAACCCGAGGCCCTGAACCCTAAGCAGCAAGGTGAACTCAGGAGGCGGCGGGAGGGAGAACGCTGGCCCGGGGCCACCTACGAGGGTGTGAGCGGGGCCAAGGCGGCTTCGGGCTTCGGGTTGTTCGGGGTTGCCGGTTTCCAGGAAATGTCTTTTTTTTGTTTTTTCATAAGGCGTCCGGTTGATAGAAAATACGTGAGAGAACCCCCGCCCCCTACTCTAGGTCACCTGAAAGAGGGTTACAGGGGGTTACAGGGTTACAGTGTTCCAGGGTTCCAGTGTTCCAGGGTTACAGGGTTACAGTGTGCAGTAGGGAGAAGGGTTTAGGGGCTTGGGGTTGGGGGGGGGGGGGCGGGGGCACTCTTTTGGGGTTTTCAGGGTTTAGGCCTCGCACGTAGGGATTTCGGACACTCCAGAGAACTTTCGAACCAGGGTTTAGGGTTTAGGGTTTCGGGTTAAGGGTATAGGATCCAGGGCAATTGCAGGGTTCGTTGTTGAGGATTTTGGGCTCCGGAGGATTCGAAAACCACGGCCGGACCAGGCAGCAAATGCCTGAAGCAACTACTCCCACGCCAAACCCACCAAAACCTGGAAGCATGTGCGGAACTCCACCATAAACCAAGACTAAAGCCCAAGCCCCTGACCCCTAACCTTCAACCCTAAACCCTAAACTATAAGCCCTAAACCCTAAACCCTAAACCCCCGTGAACTCGACCCAATCGCTTCCGATGCCTTAGAGGGCGTCGACACTTTCCGACGCCTGGCGCAGGGGGCCCTCCTAGCAAGGCCCTGAAACCCAAAGACCGGGTTTGGGGTTTAGGGTTTAGGGTTTCGGGTTTAGGGTTCAGGGTTCAGGGTTCAGGGTTTAGAGGTTTAGAGGTTTAGAGTTTTTGGCTTGGGGCTCAGGGTTTTGTGGGTTTAGGTTTGAATCAGCCTGCACCACTTTTTTAGGCCCAAAGCAGCCTGCGCCGCTTCCGCGACCCAAAGCTTCAAAACTGTAACCAATCCGAAAGCCAACAAACCCAACTCCAAACTCTGCACAACCTGAACCCTTGACCCGAAACCCTTAAACCCGAACCTCAAATCCTAAACCCCCAAATCGCCAGACCCCCATCTCTAAGCTCCTAAACCCCTAAACCCCGAAACCCCTCAACCACCCTAAAACCCAAAAACCCTAAACCCTAAACCCCAAACTCCAAACCCTAAACCCTAAACCCTAAACCCTAAACCCTAAACCCAAGCCCAAGAATCTGAGAACGGCGCCTCGGTGGGGGCCGCGCAGCGGCCGCCCGCGGCGAAGGGGCCGGGACTGGGCAGTGTGCGGGATCCAGGTTGGGGGGTTTAGGGTGTAGGGTTTGGGGTTTAGGGTTTAGGATTTAGGGTCAGTTATTCTGATCCTAAACCCTAAGCCCTAAACCCCTACAGCAGCTGGTAGTAACTGGGTCTGGGATGGTCAGATGCACAAAGGCTACGCAGCTCGACATCTCCCTCGCAGCCCTAAACCAAAAACCCTACGTAACCCTAAACCCTACCCCTAAACCCTAAACCCCAGACCCTAAACCCCAAACCCTAAACCCTAAACACTAAACCCTAAACCCTAACCCGGCCCTAAACCACTCAAAATCCCGACCTTTTGCGGGCGGCATCTGTCTCGGTCCGGTGCAGGGGTGGCTTCGCCAACCCCGGACATCTCCAAGCGCGTAGCTGGCGCATGTTACGGAGGGCAAGCAGGGTAGGGCTTAGGGTTTGGGGTTTAGGGTTTAGGGTTTAGGGTTTAGGGTTTAGGGTTTAGGGTTTAGGGTTTAGGGTTTAGGGTTTAGGGTTTAGGGTTTAGGGTTTAGGGTTTAGGGTTGAGGATGGTTGAGGGGTTGGGGTTTAGGGTTTACCCGAAATACCCACTAAAACTGGGCCCTTAGAGTACACCCCCCGTTCTTTTTCTCGGCCAGCACCCGAAACTCCAAACTAAAGGGGTAAGTTTTTTGGGGTTTAGGGTTTAGGGTTTAGGGTTTAGGGTTTAGGGTTTAGGGTTCAGGGTTCAGGGTTCAGGGTTTCAGCTTTGGTTTAGGGTTTAGGCTTGAACCCAAGCCCAGAGCACTGGACCCGAAACCCCAAACCCCAAAACCTCAACCCTAGCGTCACTCGATTTTTTGATATGCACGCACACACACACACACACACACACACACACACACACACACACACACACACACACACACACACACACACACACACACACACACACACACACCCGCGCACACACACACACAGTGTGTGTATATATATATGTGCAAAACGCCTAGAAGGCTATTGTAGTAGGGAATCCCGCAGGTCAAGTCCGCAGCGTGCCATCGCGCGGTTCTTTGGACAACGACCCGTGAGTCTGACACCCGCGAAAGACCCAGGTGGGTAGTTCTCTACACATGCCTCCGGCTTAGGGCTTAGGGTTTGGGGCTTGCTGGTGCATGATGCAGGCCCCACCCAGGGCCCCAGGTCATAGAACTACCCACGTTCAGGATGCGGGGTTGAGTTCACATCAGGGGCCACAATCTTCCAAACCTAAACTTCGGCGACAGAGCGGACGGTGTCCGGCACAACTTCTCAGACGTGAAGGTCGGTGGTGCTCCGAACGGACTGTTCCTGCGCTTGCTATGAGCCAGCAAGGCACACACACACACACACACCCACACCCACACACACACACCCACCCACCCACCCACACACACACACACACACACACACACACACACACACACACACACACAGGTTTAGGGCTTAGGGTATAGGGTATAGGGTTTAGGGTTTAGGGTTCCCCTAACCCTAAACCCACTTCTTGGCCCTACACCTGCAGGTTCGCTCGGGCATCTTCTCCCCAAAACCAAAAACCCCCAACACCTCAACCTGAGGGTTAGGGTTTAGGGCTTAGGGTATAGGGTTTAAGGTTTTAGGGTTTAGGGTTTAGGGTTTAGGACTTGACTCGTGTCTCGCGTTTGGGGTTTGGGGTTTGCAGCTTAGCTTAGGGACTTATCGCCAGGAGGAATCGAGTTTTAAGGAGGCTCATGACACCCCACAGAGGCTCAAAACCTGGAGTGAGGGTTGTTGAGGGATTAGGGTTCTGGGTATAGGGTGTGGGGTTTAGGGTTAAGGGTTTGAGGGTTGAGAGGTTTCGGGCCTCTTGGGTCGGCGGCCTGAGCCGGAGGCTCCTAAATTTTAGGGAACCTGAATGCCTAAGTTGAAGTCGGGGGTCCTCGTCGAACTGGGCTTCCCTGACCTCCCCGGAGTCCGCCTCCGACGGGTCGGCAGCAGCGTGGTACCTGTCGACTCCGGAGGTTAGGGTTTAGGGTTTAGGGTTTAGGGATTAGAGACTAGGGTTTAGGGTTTAGGTTTCGGGTTCAGGGTTTAGGGTTTAGGGGTTAGGGTTTAAGGTTTAAGGTTTAGGGTTTAGCACTCCGGATGGAGCAGTTTGATGGTAAAACTTCATTTACGGCTCTGATATAACACCCACCCACCCAGAGAATAAAGCGACCAAATTCTGAAATTCAATTTACGGTCTAAATTTATATAGTAAAGAGGATTTAGGCGGTTTAGGGCTTAGGGTTTAGGGTTTGGGGTTTAGGGTTTACGGTTTAGGTTTAGGGTTTAGGGTTTAGGGTTTTGGGTTTTGGGTTTTGGATTTTGGGTTTTGGGTTTTGGGTTTTGGGTTTTGGGTTTTGGGTTTGGGTTTTGGGTTTTGCCTCCACCAAACACGCTCAAAGGGCCTGAAGAGCTCGCCGAAGTGGTGGCAAAATGCATTCAGGTCCAGCCTGTCCAACTCCGCAGGGGCTCAGGGCTAAGGGTGCAGGGACGTAGGGCAGGGGACATGTACATGAATAGTTGACGGAATTGCACCCAAAGCAGCCTCAACACCCCTACCGGTTTAGAGTTCAGGGTTATGGATTTACGGTTTACGGTTTAGGGTTTAGGGTTTAGGGTTTAGGGTTTAGGGTTTAGGAATGTTAGTCTGTAGGTTCGGATCTGAGAGTGGGGGAGGTGGTGGAGATGGGGTTCAGCCTTTAGGGTTTTAGTTCTTTGGGGTGTAGGCTTCTGGCCGCAGGTGGGGCAACACACTCGAAAACGGCTGGGGTCTGTGGCTTGCCATGACTAGGAATTTAAGCAATCTATGACCATAATCAAAGAGAGCCGTGTTTGAGGCACTTGTCTCCCCGCTTAAAACCACCCCTGAGAGCCTCAACAAACGTGAGCAGAGGGCATTTTCGAAATCATTTTGTGTTGAAGTGACCCCACGCTGTCCCAGCATCAACCAACCGAACGGCCTTTATTGAATGTATCCAACTTGGGGTTTAAGTTTTCGGGTTCAGGGTTTAGAGTTTTCGGCCTGAACTCTAAGCACAAAGAGCACTGCAACCCTAAAACCCTGATCCCTACAGCCCCCGCGCCTGTTGCCAGCCTTCTGTCGGAACATCAGCCTCGACAGGAGGGTATAGGGTTTGGCGTTTCGGGTTTAGGATTTACGCATGCAGTCTTGCGGACTGTCCCGAAGAAGCTCCTTGGAAATAGACTACGTAGGAATGAATTCCTGTGAAATCACTGGCCAAGCCGTTGGCAATGAAGGATCTGGCACTATCAAAGCTCAAATGCGGGTCTCCGGCTGGTAAACCAGGGGAGCCGTAGGAGCAACGTACGGTGCCCTGGATGCATTTGGGCCATCGCAAGGCGCTTGCAAACGGAACTTGATTCCCGGCCAAAGGCCACCAAAGGCCCTGGGGGCAAGAGATGCTGCGATGTTCCAAGGGCAACTGGACAAGGACATGACTGCACGAAGCACGTGAGCAACAGTCACAAGCTGTGCATGGAGAGAATGGCGATGACATCTGAGGGAACTGACCTCATGAGCCCAGACGGCCGTCATCAGAGTTGCGAAGCTGCTCAGGTCGCTTCGCAGACACCCAAGGGGGCTACATTAATCGGCACCTACCACCCTACATCCACCGTGAAGGCAAAATTCAATTCCAGCAAAGATATGCTGTCTTCGTCAAGTATTCACGTATGTGCACACAGCCACTTGTACAGTAAATGCCCAAACGGAGCACAGAGCACGAACGAGTGCCGCTGCGGCTCCTGTTGCAACCCCGGGGAAACCAAGCATTCATCGGCTGCTAGCATCCCGAGTCTGCAAAGAAACAGGGCTGGTTTGGGGTTCCGGGCTTGGGGTTGTTGGGTCTGAAGCGTAGGGATTTGGAGGCAGGCAAACCTTAGATTCACACATGTAAACCGCTTGCCTGACAGAGCTCGCAGCATCCACTTGGGCTGCTGAGAAACCGCACTTCGGGGGCCCTTCGTGAACCTTCCCAAACTCTTCCCTGAAACTCAGAACACCTAAAACCTGAAACTCCAACATCTATGAACCCTAAACCCTAACCCCAACCCCTAAACCCTAAACCCCAAACCCTAAGCCCCAAACCCTAAACCCTAAAACCTAAACCCCAAAAATTGGGCGCTGGGGCTTCAATCGGGTCTTGAAGTTCTGCTCGTCGTCCGCGTCCTTAAAGCTGAGGCCACGGTGCTCGAAGCTCTCGAGGACCTAGTCAGAGATTATAGGGTTTGGGGTTTTGGGTGCTAGGGGTTTGGGGTTTGGGGTTTGGGGTTTAGGGTTTAGGGTTTAGGGTTTAGGGTTTAGGGTTTAGGGTTTAGGGTTTAGGGTTTAGGGTTTAGGGTTTCGGGGGTAAATGGGGGCTTGGGGCTTTAAAGTTTGGGGCTCCTAGGGTTTTGGGTTTGGGGCTTTTAGGGTTGTGGGGTTGCGAGCTACCTTCAAGCCTCAAAACCCTAAACCCCGAGCCCTAAACCCTAAACCCTAAACCCTAAACCCTAAACCCTAAACCCTAAACCCTGAATCTTCTAAGATAGGGGCTTCAAGATGTTGGCTTAGTGTCTGAAAGGGATATCGATCTCCTATGGTCCCTAAACCCCCAAACACTAAACCCTGAACCCTAAACCTCAAGCCCTAAACCCTAAACCCCAAACCCCAAACCCTGAATCCTGGTAACTCTAGACCCGAAACCCTAAACCCTAAACCCTAAACCCTGAACCCTGTACCCTGTACCCTGAACCCTGAACCCGACCACAAGCTGAACCCCCGGCCTCCTCCGCGCTGAGATCCCCTGTGCCGTCCTCGTCGAAGGCGCGGAAGATCATCGCAAGCTCCTTCCTTGGGATTTAGGGTTTAGGGTTTAGGGTTTAGGGTTCAGGGTTTAGAGTTTAGGGTTCAGGGTTTCGGGTTTAGGGTTTAGGGTTTAGGGTTTAGGGTTTAGAGTTCAGGGCCCAGGGTTCAGGGTTCGAGTCCCTTAGAGCTCAAACACTGGGATTCCCACTTCGTGACCTAAGGAAGATTCTTGAATTAGGGGGTGCTTCAAACTCGAAACCTCCCAGCTCCAACGCTTAAAGCTCTCTAAGTGTCTGGTCCAGGACCATGGCCTTCTGGTAGCGGAAGTCCTTTCAAGGCCCAAGCCCACCTAAACCCTAAACCCCCCCTAAGCCCAAAGACCCACTTGTGAACCCTGAATCCCTTCAAACCTACTAGCCCCTGAACCCCACTATGCTCCTATGTGAACCCCACAGGTGGTCCCGGGCTTACTGTAGAGGGGTCTCGGGTCTGGGCCCTAAACCCTGGACCCTAAACCCGAAACCTTTTTAGCTGGGCGAGGGGACTTTGGGTCCTAGGATGTCAAGATTAACTGTCTTTTGGGGTCTGCTTTTTGGGTTAGGGATTAGGGTTTAGGGCGTAGGGTCTAGGGTTGCTAGGCTCCGGGGAACGCGCGCTGGATAGTCTACGAGTCCGGGGTGCGGAGTGGGTTCGGAGGCGCTTCGGGAGTTGAAGTCGGGGGGCTCAGGGGGGCGGGAACTTCGCCTCCCTCAACTTGAACAGTTGGAATCCACACCCTCCGGACATGAACCACATGTCCCTAAGGCCTACGTCCCAAACCCTAAAAGGCCCTAAACCCTGAACCCGTCCCGTTTTCTCAGCTTATTGCCACGGGAAGCTGCGGGAAGCTGCGGAAGCTCAGGGCACTGCAGCCCTCCAAGTCCAGACACCCTTGAAGCCCCAAAAGGCCTTCCTTCTCAACCCCACACCGCGCACCACAAGCCTACTCCGGTTTCATTAGGGTTTAGGGTTTAGGCTTTAGGGTTTAGGGCTTAGGGCTTAGGGCTTAGGGCTTAGGGCTTAGGGCCAAGCCGAGTTGCGGAGGAGGAGATCTGCCTGATCAGGATGTTCATCAGCCGGTGCGGGAGGTATCCTCGAAGCCGGGCTTCGGGTTTTTTTCGGGCTCCGGGTGGAAAAAAATGTGCTGCAAGGGCTGCGAAGTGGGGAGGGGGGTGCTCAGGGTCTGGGCTCCAAGACCCCTTCAAGCTCTAAACCCTAAACCCTAAACCCTAAACCCTAAACCCTAAACCCTAAACCCTAAACCCTGAACCTTCAGGCTTCTCAAGGCTTACATCGGGATCACAGGGTTTGGGACCTTGCGGCTTGCGCTTCGGGGCTCAGGGTGCGCGGCTTGTAAGGTTTTTAGTGCACGGAGCCTTGGCCCAAAAACCCAATAAAAACAAACATGAAAATAAAGATTTTAAAAAATGAAAAAAACAATAAACAAATTAATAATCAGAATAATCACAATAATAATAATAATAATAATAGTCGTAGCAATAATACAAAGAATAAGAGCAAAGAACAAGAATAAGAATAAGAATAAGAATAAGAGTAAGAGTAAGAATACAAGAATAAGAGTATGAGGCCGTGCAATTCATGCCCACTTCTTCGGACGGCGCAGTGCGCATTAGGGCACACCTGGAGCTCAATTTGTTGGGGCCCATGTCTATTCAGAACGTGGGGGGGGGCTTTTGGGTCTAGGGTTGAGGGATCAAGAGGTTTGTGTTTTAGGGTGTAGGGTTTGGGGTTTAGGGTCTAGGGTTTAGGGTGTAGGTGTAGGGTTTAGGGTTTGGGGTTTGCTGCCTGCTTGTGTGTGCGCTTGTTGCCTGCTGATCGCGGTCTCCTTTGCGGGCTTTTACGGGGCGTGGGGCTTAGTGGGATGTTCGCTCAACGTGGTTTACCGTAGGCTTTCGGCCTCATGTAGACCCCACATGTGGAGTTCTTAGGGTATAGGGACTCAGGGACCGAACATAGGGGCCTGAATGACTACAACAGGATTTGGGGGGGTCATTTTGGTATATGTGTATTTATAGAATTTATAGGGACCGTAAGGGAATATTCTTCGTAATCATTCCGACCCCTCCCACTACAGGGTTGCGCAGAGTATGGGTCGGCTTCTCTCGTCCACTTCGACCTTTGACGAAGAACCCTGCAGCCCACCAAACCCCTAAACCCTAAACCCAATATCCCTAAACCCTAAACCCTAAAACCCAATATCCCTAAACCCTAAACCCGAAACCCCATGATCCCGAAACCCAAACCACCCATGCACCCTTGCTCCTTGCCAAGGCACGCACATACACGTATACGGCGGCCGCGTAGCCAACCAGCCAGCCCGTAGTGATGAGGAGGCTGACGGTCATGATCCTCGGCTCAGGGCTTAGGACCATGGGTTTAGGATGGTTTAGGGTCTAGGGTTTAGGGTTTAGGGTTTAGGGTTTAGGGTTTAGGGTTTAGGGTTTAGGGTTTAGGGTTTAGGGTTTAGGGTTTAGGGTTTAGGGTTTAGGGTTTAGGGTTTAGGGTTTAGGGTTTAGGGTTTAGCTTATGGGTTTAAGTCTGACGATTGGGGGCACAGAAACCTGGTCAGTCCTCACAGCAAATGTTGCTAGTTGTTGAGAGGAGGGTCCACGTCGTCTCAACGTTTGCAGCACCCATGACGAAGAGCACCGTGAGCACCACGACCCCTGGCAAGGATAGGGGGTTCGTACTTTGGGCACCTCGCTAAGTTCTGGTCGCCCTTTAGGTACTCTAGAATTACGCGGCCTGCGTGAGGTAGGACCCCCCGAATTCAGGATCCGGCCACAATACCCCAAATCCTCAATAAACCCCAAACGGATCCATTAGGGGATTCCGGGTAATTCGGGGCTGAGGGACCAAGGGTTTCGGGTTTAGGGTTTAGGCCAAAACCCTAATTAAACCCTAAACCCTAAACGCTAGACCCTAAACCCTGCCTACGAGAGGGAAGCTAATGCGGGAGACGTCGTCCACAAAGCGGGCCGAGTAGGTCGACACCGTGGCGCGCATGGCCTCCAGCTTTTGTACAAAGCTTCCTCCCTTTAGGGTTTAGGGTTTCGGGTTTAGGGTTTCGGGTTTAGGGTTTGGGGTTTGGGAGTTCGGGGTTTGTGTTTGGGGTTTAGGGTTGAGTGGCTTTGCCTCCTCCGCGGGGCAGTGAGAAGTGTCCAAGCCAAAGAAACCATCCAGTACCCAACTGAGGCGTGCAATCCCAAATCACGGAACCGCTCCAGCAACCAAAACCCTAAACCCGGACCCCAACCCTAAACCCTAAACCCTAAACCCAGCGGAATCCCTCAACCTTCCATCAAAAGGGAAAATGCTGTTCAGCACGTCGGCGTTTGGAATATCCCGGAACATGACGCGGGATCTCACCTGCGCCAGAACGTTCTCCAGCACGCTGGCGAACATGATCACCGTGACCTCGAACATGGTGACCTGGGCCAAAGAGCCCTAAACCCTAAACCCTAAACCCAAAACCCTAAAACCCTAAAACCCTAAAACCTAAACCCTAAATCTTGCAAACCCTGGAGCCACTTCGAGCAGGGATGGGCCCCGGCTTCGGAAAGACCGACGACCTAAAACAGCAAAAGTCAGGACCATCAGCCCTCTGTAAGCCTAAATAACCATCGGCCTTCTTAAGCCTAAACTTCAAAACCCTAAACCCTAAACTCTGAACTCTAAACCCTAAACCCTAACCGCCGAATCCTAAACTCTGAACTCTCAACCCCAAGTTCCTGGCCAGCGACGTCCATCCAGAGAAGCGCGGACGTCTGTTTGGGGATCAAGGAATACGCCAGGGTCCTGTCGAGAGTTCCAAATGTGTCGAGGATTTGGGGTTTACTGGCTCTTTTCCAGGAACTTGGACGAAGTTGCCGATAAGGATACTACATTTTTAGCTATCTAACCCTACTATGGTATGTTAACTTCACTGAAGCTCCTGCCGGCTCTCAGGTTCGGAGGGTCTGAGGCTTTCAGTTTGTTGGGGCACGGGGCTTTGATAACCCCTTGCGCCATCCCAAAGCCGAAATCCCCTGCAACCACCCCGCCTGTTTGGTAACCGTCAACAGCCACCAGGCGGGGGACTTTGGGTTTAAGGTTTTAACCGAGGGTTTGAGCGTTTAAGGGTGCAGGAATAACAGTATGATTAATATGTAGAGAGCGAATAAAAACATGAGTGAACGAACGGACAAGAATAATATGAAAAGAGCACTCATTCTGTTCACGACATAGCCACATGAATCTCAAAATTGTGTGAATGGTGCACGCATAATTACAATGAACAACTGTAAGGAGAAAGATAAAGCGACCGCGTGAAACAAGTGAGCACAAGGGACGTTACTGCTGATAATCATATCCTTGTTCCCTTCGCGTACATATTATGCGATCGAAACCTGCGTCTCCAAGCGTGAAAGCAGAAAAACAAAACGGCCTCATTGAAACGTTCTCAAAAGCGCGTGCATTCTTTACGGCCGTTTCAATACTATTTTCATGTGGGCTTTTAGGAAGACCAGCCCCATAAGGATTTTAGGGCTTGAGGGCTTGAGGGTCTGAGAGTTGAAGGGTTTTCAGAGTTTGGCGGGTCTCCGCTGGTCTCCTGAAGACCTGCAGCGACAGGAAGGAGATGAATCCAGTGGCCACACGCGGCATCACCTGAGAAGAAGGCAACCCACGGCTCTCTTTCTTTTATCAGAAGAAAGAGAGTTTAGGGTTTTTTTTACAACCCCAAAGATCTCTTTTAGGGTTTAGGGTTTAGGGCATGCACAAGATGTTATCCTGGCCAACCCAAAAGAGAAAGCGGCTTAGGAAAACATCCGATGGATTCCCTTAAGCCCGGGCCTGAACACAAACCAAGCTATCAAGATTTTACAATGCTCTTCAGTTCCTTAACCAGCCAAGTTCCTTTTAACCAGCCACACTTGGGGGCTAGACTCGCAAGAGTCGCACCAAGGCTTGCAAGAGCACAAAACATTCGGAGCTGAACAAAAGACACGCCGCCATGTCAATGGGGATGAAGAAGCCAGCGAAAGGGATGAAGAGCCTGGGCTGCTGTGGTACAGTAGTTGCTTCCGCTGGAGGAGGCCTTAAGGGCCTTCGGGCTTAGGCGTTGGCATGGCACAGCTGGTCTACTCTTGCGTTCTGTGGCCCGTCACCTCACAGCACCTTCACGAACCCTTGCGGTGGGGGGGATGCACAGACTCAAGCACCCTAAACCCCCCAAGCTCCAGGTTTAAGGGGCTGCCGCCTGGCGATGCAGAACCTTTGACACCCTAGGGCCTAAACCCAGGTGAACCCTCAACCCTCTGCTTGGAATCAGGCTCTGATCCAAGCCCGCCAGTCAGACGGGAGCCTCAAAGCACCTGAAGCCCCTGCGCCCCCTGCAGCCAGGCGGCAAAGCCGTCAAGGGCCAGAAGAATCGCAGGATGAGGATCGTGATCCCTGGGCACTTCAAAAAGCCCCAAACATCTTGAAGCCCACAAGCCTCCGGCGAAACCATGTTAGTCTGGGAAGTAGGTTGATTCGGCACCAACAAGCAACTCCGGCTTGAGATCCCCCCTAAAGCCTAGACCTTAAACCCTATACCCTGAACCCTAAACCCTAAAATCCCTAAACCCTACACATCTCCACAAGTTGACACAAACCAACACCAACGCCTGCCTGCAGCGGACACGACTCCCTCGGAACCAGAGCTTGAACATCCTCTTTGAATTTACCCCCACTTGGGTGCAAGACGCACAAAACGAATCAAGAGACTGTAAACCCTAAACCCTAAACCCTAAACAAGCGAGCTGCGTCATGCTTTACCCTTATGCAAGCTGACCGCCCTAAAACCCCCCAACCTAGCACTCCCTTCGGTACGAGTACTTGGGGTTGGGAAGGGCTTCGGGCTTAGGGCTTAGGGCTTGGGGGGCTTGGGGCTTGGGGCTTAGGGCTCTGAACCCGCGCCCTCTCCTACGCGCGTCCAGACGGGCGGCGCCGCGACACCGTCACCTGACCGCTGGACCACGGAAAGGCAAATTTGGCCATCAGCCCCCTTTCCGGGCATGAGGAAGCCCAGTTGGGGAGTTCTTTATCTAGGGTTCATAGGGTTGGAGGCCTGTAATTGGGAAATTAGGACGCCCTGCCGGGGAAGTCTTCACCTAGGGTTACTGTAATTTCGGGACCCCTGTCGTGCTAAGGACCAGTAAGCGCGAGGGACCGCGATGAGGGCCGCAGGCATCGAGATTCACTTGACCTCTATACTAGGGCCCAGGGAACGAAAAAACCGCAACAATGACGATGATGATGATGGCTCATTCCTTCACCAATCAACAACATTAGGCCCACTAGGCATGCAGCCCTTAATTCCTTGATTCGATGAAATTAGCTTGCGGATATGGGCGGAAGTCTTAAGGTGGGTTGAGTCATTGAGGCGTGGGTTTCAGAAGGGCTCTCTGTGTGCCCCCCCCCCCCCCACCTCCCCAAAACAACCTGTTACCTACCCCCCACCCCCCCACCCCCTTTCGTTTAGTAGCTCGGCATCATCCTCCACAGAAACCGAACCCCTGTCCAAAGATTTGGGCTGCCACCCCAAAAAGACTGAAGGCCGGGTGCCTTCATGCAGATGGAGGTCGTTAGGTCTGACTTTTCTTCGCGAGTGGGCTCGATCGACATCACGTAGAAGCCGAGGTCTTCCAACCTCGATCGCCACGGCCCGACTTGTTTGTATAAGGCCAAAGGATTGCGCAGACGACGCGACGCGCAAGCCGCAGGGAAGGGCGAGCACCTCACCCTCAGCTCTAAACCTGCGTCCAAACACAAACTACAAAGGCTCCGGGACTCGATTGTGGATGCAAAGTTGAACTTGGGGGCCCAGGTTTAGGGAAAGCCCAGTACCGCTGGGGAAGCAAGCAGACAGCGAGAGGGGGGAATGCAGCTGAAGGAAGAGCAGCACAGCCCAGCTCAGCTCGTTCCGGAGGTTTGCATCTGCTAAGCCTCTTTTATGCCGATCACCCAACAATCACCAAGGCAACTGATTCCGTCTCAAAGGCTCGAATCCGATTGGGGTTTTAACTGCGTCAGTCTGCTGACTTGGCCACGCCCTACCTGATTGCATGTTGTTTGAGACTCCCCACGCGAAACCTTTCCTGAAAACCCTAAACCCTAAACCCTGAACCCTATATGCACCCCAAGCTCTGCCCTGCACCCCAAGCTTTGCCCTGCAGAGCTCTCGAACCCCAAGACCGCCAGGCAGCTTCTCCACGAAGTGCTTGGAGGCTATCGGGGAAATCTCTGAAGCTCCATCCCACCTTCAGGATAGGGGGGGCGGGGCACTTCAGGCTCGGGGTGTAGGATTCGGGTTTAGGGTTCCGAGTTTGGGGTTTGGGGTTTCGGGTTTCGGGCAACTCAACGTCCTGCAGCCCTGGGCGTGACATCTCGTGCCCAAACAGCACGGCCTCGTGGCCAGCGATTCAATGTCCTGCGAAAAACTTTGGTAACTTCTTTGAATTATGGTCCCTTTTGGGGTCACATCTACAAAGCAGCTCCTAATATTTAGGATGCCCAAGAGGGGACCATCATTTTCAGAACTGACCGGTTAGGGCTTGAGGGGACAAAAGGGGTTCTAGCAGGAGTCGAGTAGGCAGGGTTTCTGCAAACCGGGCACATGTCTACAAAAGCCTAGCCTAGCCTGCACCCGTGGTACCAGCAGAAGGGTGCTCTTTAGCCAGCAAAGCGTACTCGAGCGCTTAGCTTAGGGAACCCGACTCTCCCCCCTATTCCCCCCACACCCTAAACCCTAAACCCTAAACCCTAAACCCTAAACCCTAAACCCTAAACTTAAACCCTAAACCCTAAACCCTCCCCCACACTTCCCAAAGAAGCAGGGGGGCGGTCCATGGTCGCGACGCCTTCTGGGCCTGGCAGGCGGGCGCTCGGGTGCTAAACCTTACAGGGTTCCGCTAAACCCTAAACCCTAAACCCTAAACCCTAAACCCCAAACCCTAAACCCCAAACCCTGAACCGAAACACTCCGAGGAACTTCAGGGCGGGAGGAGGGCCTTCAACCCCCAATTCCACCCCCCTAAACCCCAAAAACCCTACCCTAAACCCTAAACCCTAAACCCTACACCCTAAACCCTAAACCCTAAACCCTACACCCTAAACCCTACACCCTAAACCCTAAACCCTAAACCCTAAACCCTAAACCCAGGGTTCCCTGCCCTTCCAGGCCTTCAAGCCTCTCAGAGACGTAGGGATCCGAGAAATAGTCGAAAGGGATGCAGAGCCTTTGTGCAGTTTGGGTTTAGGGTTTAGGGTTTAGGGTTTAGGGTTTAGGGTTTAGGGTTGAGGGTTTAGGGTTTAGGGTTTAGGGTTTAGGGTTTAGGGTTTAGGGTTTAGGGTTTAGGGTTTAGGGTTTAGGGTTTAGGGTTGCGCGCCTCAGGTCTTGAGGTTGAGGGTCGCCCCATACCCCCCCCAAAAAAAGGTAGGGTTTGGGGCAGAGGGTATCGGGTTTAGGGTTGAGGGTGAGGATTTCAGGTTGAGGGCAGGCGTGCGACAAAGAGCCGTTTTTGGTTGAGTTTCGGTTGGGCCGACCTCCTTCTGCAGCCCTTACCTTGGGGGCTTCCGCCTCCCTGTAGCCCTAAACCCTAAACCCCAAAACCCTAAACCCTAAACCCCAAAACCCAAAACCCAAAACCCTACACCCTACACCCTACACCCTAAACCTGCCCACCTTTCTAGAGCTTCAGGCGGCCGAAGAGTATCTTGTCCGCGTTGTTTTTTTCCTGGCTTTCCCCCGTCGACAATCAAAGCAGCATACCACCCCAGGATACCCGAGGGCTCAACGGGGTGTATGTTGGGCTTTACTTTTGCACGGGATTAGGACCCTAAACCCTAAACCCTAAATCCCAAACCCTAAACCCTAAACCCTAAACCCTTTCAAGGGCTCAGGGTGTACACAGGGGCTTGGGATGTGGGATTTCAACGTTCCACAGTTCAACCCTCGCACCAGCAGATGCAGCCCCGGAGGCTCTAGAAACTGCGTGTCGAAAGGGAAGTGCCTTGGCCGCTTTGGGGTTGAGGGTTTAGGGTTTAGGGTTTAGGGTCTAGGGTTTAGGGTTTAGGGTTTAGGGTTTAGGGTTTAGGGTTTAGGTTTTAGGGTTTAGGGTTTAGGGTTCAGGCCCAATGTCTCAGGTCTAGGGGACGTGAGGTCTAGGGCTCGGAGATAAACCCTATGAAGCCCATAAACCCTAAACCGCGGGGTTCAGGGGTTCACAGGAAGGGTTTAAAAGCTTTGGCATGGTGGAGTTGAGGGGCTTTTGGGGGTAAAACCCTAAACCCTAAACCCTTAACCCTAAACCCTAAACCCTAACCCTAAACCCTAAACCCTAACACGCATCCTGAACCGTAGACCCCATGCAGCGGACATTTTAACCTGTCTGACCTAAGCCGCTCTGACAGAACGACAACGAAGATTCCATATTTCCCCGTCATAAAGTATAAAAACAGAGGTCAGAAAAACAAACCCTAAAGAACCCCTCAACCCTAAACCCTAAACTTTGGGCTTCGGGTTTAGGGTCTAGGGTTTAGGGTCTGAGGAGAGGCGCTCGTAGGAGAGGAAAACGTCGAAGTGGGTCTTTGCCCGATCGACCCACAACGCCTCCTGAAGCAAGGGGTTGAGGGTTTAGGGTTTAGGGTTTAGGGTTTAGGGTATAGGGATAAATCCTCAACCCTGTACCCTAAACTGGGATCTCCTTGCCTTTGCGTTGTGTGCAGGAGGACGCGATGGGACAGAATGCCAACCTATCCTCCACTTACATTTGGGGCCCTAAGACCCCAAAAATCCAAAAAAATTGTAGAAGTACCCTAAACCCTAAACCCTAAACCCTAAACCCTAAACCCTACGTCCTAGAGTTCTGGCTTTCTGCTTTGGGCGCCGTATGTCGGGTTCTCTGCCCGCCTGAGCTCCTCTCTCAGCTCCTGAAACACCTCAATACCGAAATCCGGGATCCTCGAACCCTCAGAGGCAACAACACAAGGGTTTAGGGTTTAGGGTTTAGGGTTTAGGGTTGAGGGTTCAGGGTTTAGGGTGTAGGGTTTAGGGTTTAGGGTTTAGGGTTTAGGGTTTAGGGTTTAGGGTTTAGGGTTTGGGTTTAGGGTTTAGGGTTTAGGGTTTAGGGTTTAGGGTTTAGGGTGCAGGTCTCGACTCTCTGAAGCCGAAAACCCCCTGCACCCCAACAGGCCAAGCCACGAGGTCACCACTTTGGGGCACCGCGAGGCGGATGATGGGATCCTGGGAAGGGCCAGGGTTTAGGGTTTAGGGTTTAGGGTTTAGGGTTTAGGATTTAGGGTTCAGGGTTTAGGGTTTAGGGTTCAGGGTTTAGGGTTTCCGACGGCCCCTCGCAGTCCTCCACCCTAAACCCCCAAGGCCTTGGAGGTTCAGGGGTTTAGCGGTTTCGGGTGTAGGGTTTAGGGGTTTTGGGTCTAGGGCTTGGGGTTTGTTCGGATCTGGGTTGTCGCTAGGGGCGGGGGTTCTGTTGGGAACCAAGTTTCTATCTACTCAGTCTTCGGGCTCTCACCCTGCAATTGGGGGGTTTAGGGTTTAGGGTTTAGGGTTTAGGGTTTAGGGTTTAGGGTTTAGGGTTTAGGGTTTAGGGTTTAGGGTTTAGGGTTTAGGGTTTAGGGTTTAGTTTAGGGTTTAGGGTTTAGGGTTTAGGGTTTAGGGTTTAGGGTTTAGGGTTTAGGGTTTAGGGTTTAGGGTTTAGGGTTTAGGGTTTAGGGTTTAGGGTTTAGGGTTTAGGGTTTAGGGTTACTAATTCCCTAAACCCTACCCCGCCCCCCCCCCTGGGTCCCTGGAACCCTAAACCCGAAATCCAAAATTTCTGGAGTCTGAAAGACCCCTTGTTGCGCGCAAGGGTCAAACTCCGTCTTCCCCAACGGGTTCGAGGATGTCTTGAGCTGCAGATCTGGTGGGATGGGGGTCCAGACCTAAGCTGAGGAATGAACCCTTGGGGTTTAGGGTTTAAGGTTTAGGGTTTAGGGTTTAGGGTTTAGGGTGTCGGGCGA